TTGTCGATAGATGGCCAACTGTGCACAAAATATAATTGAAAGCCAGATTGTAGGTTTTCCTTTGACGGCACTCATATGCACCCACTTATCCCAACAAATGATGGTCAATTGTTTTCATCAATTACTATTTGGACAATAGCAGTACAAAAGATTTATAATTTTTGCCAGAAGCATTCTTTACCGTGGCTTTGGATATATTTATGGAATGAGTAGTACTATCCTGAGCATTGGACTTTGTGGTTACAAAGTGGATGTGAAAATAAACTTTTTATTTTTAAACCTAATATGTTTGTCGAAGCTTATTGGAAAGTATTGAAGTGTGATTTTTTATATAAATTTTTTCGACCACATTTAGATTTAGTAGTGTTTATTATCATGGAGTAAGTAATACCTAATCAAAAAAGAAAATTTGAGCAGATGTTTGTAGTTAGGCAGGAAAAAGCTGAATGGAGAAAGATATTTAAGAAAGAATGGAAAAATCTTTCTAATCAAACTATTAATAATATATACTTAACTGATCTTAATAAGTGGATTCGTGGATGTATTGTATTTTTAACAAGCTGATTTCTTATATGTAAGCACTTAGTAAAAGCAAAAGGAGAAGTACTACCACAATTTTTTGATCAAGTTTATTGCCATCGTCAATATCCATTTATTGATGCTTCATCTATACTAACTGAAAATACTGAACCAGTTATGGTATTAGTAAATAATGAACAAGCTTTAGTAAATTATCAAATTGATGATGATGATTCACAAGCATGTGAGGAACTATATGCTCATCTTATAGAAATAACAGGAAAAACACTTGAAATTCTCAAAGACCAACAAAATAAGAAGAATTATAAGTGGGTAAAAAATATTAAGAAGAATTTTAACTCAATTGAACAAATAACATCTGAAATTGCATCATTTAAGCAGAGAAGAACAATGTCTTGCACATTTAAAGATCATTTACATAATACTTTATTTTTTAACTAAAAATAAATACATTAAATAAATTGCAATTTTATATCATAAAATAATATGCACATATAATATTTATGCTTCAATTTTCAGATATTTTTCATATTCTAATATCATGAAAAATTATTTAAATATTATTATTGTCCGAAGCGTAGCGAGGACTTACATTACATGTAATAGTTCAAAAATGTCTGTCTGTCCGGCACATGACTATACTATGATTGGTTGTATTAGATCCAGTTATAAAAAATATCTATTTGTCTGCTATATAACTTTATTATATTCTATACTAGACCTTTGCTTTAAAAAATGTCTGTCTGTCTATTATATAACTTTGTTGTAATTGGCTGTTACATTCTATACTAGACCTTTGCTTTAAAAATATCTGTTTGTCCATCACATGCCTTTATTTTGATTGGCTATTATGTTCTATACTAGACCTTAAATTTGAAAAATGTCTGTCTGTCCACCATATGACTTTGTTGTGATTGACTGTTACATTTCATACTAGACCTTTGATTTCAAAAATGTCTGTCTGTCTGCCACGTAACTTTGTTGTGATTGGTTGTTATGTTCTATACTAGACCTTTGATTTCAAAAATGTCCATCTGTCCGCCACGTGACTTTGTTGTGATTGGCTGTTACATAAATGTATCATCACATATTACATTGCATCCAGGTTGGGATCAGATGATCATTCAGATAATAGTTCGAATTATGGTCTGAAAATTAATTCTTCAACGATTAGACTTTATTTTTTTTCAATTAAATAATGATTATATGATACAAATTTAAAAATTTAACACAATTTACAGTAAATATACAAACACATAGAAATAATACAAATAATTTGATATTTGATATTTTAAATTTAACTCTATTTCTGTTTAATTATTTGGCTATAGTTTATTTGTTAAACAATTTGAATTGGTTTTTTTTTGTGACATTCTTTAATAAATTATATGCATTCGACTCTGGATAAAATGAACTCAAAATTTTTAGAATTTCATAGTTCAGTATAAAAAGTGCCTTGTCTTTTTAATAAAATATAATAATTTTCTAAATAAACTTTTTTTTTTTTTTTTTTTTTTTAATATTTTATTATACTTCAACTTAGATTAGTATTTTTCTTCTTGTATACGAATTTTTTTAAGTTAATGTGGCAGAACTCTAATTTTTGATAACTTTGATTGTGATAAGGAATCTTGTTGAAATAGGTAAAGCACTAGCTTGTTATAGTTAAATATTTAGATTTTTCATATCCTTTTTCGAATATTCTATATTGTTAATAAGTTAGTTAATATCACTAATAATATGTTTAAAAACTTTTAACAGACATTATATACTTATTTAGATCTTTATCGCTATATAATTATTAAATAAATTTTGAATTATTATGAATAAAATACAAACTATTGTCAATATCTTCTTTAAACGGCTAAACATTGCTTATTTCTACATTTAGTTATTGCAATTTTCTACCTGATATTTATAAATTAATGTAAATATTTTCTGAAGTAGCATATATAAGTTCGATATATTCAAAGTTTCAATTTGATAATTATTTGTAATTAATGAAATAATAGCTTGTTCACAATAATAAATAAATGTTTGTAACAAGTTTTGTATCTCTTTTTCTTCAGAAAGAAAAAACAAACAAAAAATATTATGCTAAGCTAACACTAAGAAAATATCGATTACTGTATTAACTTTTTAATAATGTTTAACATATGCAAATACACAATTTTGGTTTTCAGTTCCAAATGTTATCATTCTGACCTATCTTTCTGGACGATCATTCTATCCCAACCCGGTATACATTTTCTGGGTGCACACTGCATATACCATCTAACTTTAAGGATACGATATATAAATTCTGAAACTACACCTTTCATTCTATCTACAGTAAAAATAATTCAAAGAACAGAGAAATAATTCAGAAGTTAGTGACGAAGTGTACTTTTAGTCTTATAGGTTAAGATAATTCAGCAATCAGCAAGATAATTCGTACCTTGGCTAATAAGTACTAAGCTTTTTTTAAACCCTTAAAAATAGTGATTCAGACAATAATACTTATAGTTAGTTTTTTAACATTTTTCTGAATATAGGTTATTTAACTAAGTTGTTAAAAGCTATAATATATTAAATATAGAATATACGTAGAATATGTATTATACATTTATATGTTTTGTTCTATAGTTAATGTTTGGTTTTTTATGCTGTCTATACTCTCCATATGTGTTTGTATTATCTTATTGATTCATAGTTGCCAGTTTTTTTTAATTCATTTACATTATTCATTATTTATCTTGTTATTAAACTGTATTAGTTAGTAAGCAATTTAGTTAATAATATAGGCCAGAAATATGAAGTTGAGAGTCATAAGGTTTATAGATTTCATAAGAAGAGTTAAAGCGAAGTATAACTGTATAATGATTATTAAATAAAATTAATTTCAGTTTGATATTGGAGCGAGCATTAAATATTGTTTTTGATTATTTTTTTAGTGTTCTAGAACATGTTTTTGGTTCGATTTTTTTTTGTCTAGTTTACTTCTCAAACTACCAATATGGTATCTTGGCCTCTACTTCAAAACTGACATGATTTATAATATCATGAGGTCAAAATACTGCTGTTTTTTTAATTAATAGCACAGTAAATTTTACAAAATATGATCCATATGCTTTGAATGCTTCTATAAAAGTTAAACAAGTTAGATCATAGTGATTAGCTTTACTATATAAATGTAGCCACTTTTTGCACTTGTTAACTGAAATAGTAAAAGGGTATGAACTGGTTTAGTTTTAAAACAAGTTGTAAAACAAATAGCCAACAGCTTATTTTGTTTGTTTGTTTTGAACTTATAAGAAGAATAAAATAGAACAAAATAACTATTTAAGATCTAATAAACATTTTTATGTTTTTGTATTTGACATGGTCTTTGTTATAAGCAGGCCGGTTTTTAAGAATTATATAGAATAAATTTACAGCATAAATAATTGGTTAACGAATCGAATATACATTTTATTATGCATTTGAATTTATATTCGAATTACTAATAGATTATTATTATATTTCTTATGTTAACAATTAATGACTATATTACAATCCTATTCAAATCATCGAAACAGGACCCAAATCATAGATTCTTAAGCACATAATTATTTTGAGCACTTATCTGTAATAATTTTCAAATATTGGGCCTCTATCTGCAATTATTTTCATTTTAGGTACCTATTTGTAATTATTTTCATTTTTGGCCCTTATTTGTAAATTCCTCTAAAATTTTTACTATATCATAGAATGATCTACAAAAATTAGTCAATCACAATGAAAGCCTGCTATGTTCATGCTATAATATATTTATCGCATAATCACATAAGCAAATAATCTAACAAAAAGGATGTTAAGTTAGATTCTATAAAACTTCTTATTCTTAAATTTTAGTTAAAATTTTTAAAAAAAGATGACAGATTATTTAGAATATGAAGCACTCAGAAAATGCAAAAGTCGAAAGAATGAAACACTTAGACAAAGTGAAAAATGACGTACACGTGATCATGAAAATAAAAATCAAAAAAGAGCTAATAAAACTATAAAATAGTGAAAAGCATGTCTAAACAAAGAAAATAAACAAAAATACCAACAAAGAGCATTATGTAAAAGCCTTTTAAAAACTGCTGAAGTATGCACTAATGAGAATAAAAATCAGGAAATATTAGTATTACAATAATTGTATTGTTAATATTAAATAAAATTAAATCAAACTAATAATAATATATAGGATGCCTTTATTGCTTCCTGAATATGATCAAAAACTATTGAAAAAATTTCGACAAAATATAAATAAATTTGAAAATAAACTTTGCCCAGTGTGCAATAAGCAGTTTCTATCTGTCAAATTGGTTGCAGAAAACTGTTGTCATTGTTATATAGATAAGGACGTTCTAAAAAAATTTTCTGTAGAGAATAATATGGATCTGGGAGATGTATCTAAAGAACTTCAAGGTCTTACTGAGATAGAAGAGATGTTAATTACGCAGATTTTTCTTGTAATTTCTGTATATTGTCTTTGCAGAGGCCAGTATGCATATAGAAAAAATGTCATTAATTTTTCTCAAGATGTACAAGAGTTTACAACACATCTTTCTCATCATCTATTATCATTAGATATACTTGTTGTGTGAAGACAGGCAGCAAGTAGATCAGCATATAGAGAATTTCATATGCATCATATCAAAGTTGCACAGACACTTCTATGGCTAAAAGCAAATAATCGATATTATACCAACATTATTGTTAACAACAAAGTATTACAATTATTACCTGAAAATAGTTTTATTGATACTTATCTTCAACAGATTCAAAACACAAAAGACCAACACTTAAGTGATAATGAAGATAATGATGAAACTTTAAATAATAATGAAAATGAAACTGAAGATATACTTGTATACAATTTCGTTCCTATCACCCCTTCATCACAAAGTGAAAATGATGCTATTAATAATACACTTAACCGTATACAAAACAAAGCTACACCAATTGTATAGCCAAATATTGATAATAGTCCTATCAATGAATTTCATACATCTGGATATATTGTACATGCCTTCCCAACATTATACCCAACTAGTAATGCTGACTTTCGTACAGAGCATATAAGAGATATAAAGCTTGCTGAATATTTTCAGCATATGCTTAAATATAAAGATAGAAGGTTTGCAGAATATACTTGCTGGCAATACTTTGCATTAAATTTACAAATGCGATAGAGAGCATTGCAAAAAGAGAGGGTCTATATAAAGCAAAGTTTAAACAGTGAACAACTTACTGTTGAAGACGTACAGAAAATGGTTGAAAAGAATAATCACCTAGCTGATCAAATTATATGATATGGTGAAAGTCTTTAAGGAACTCAACAATTTTGGATTAAACAACGAGTTGAATTGTCAGATATGATTAAACAATTAGAATCACAGGGTATAGTTTTTTTTATATTTAGCGCAGCAGAT